AAAGAGCATGTGATCTAATATTTCTCTATCGGTCTTTGAATTGTTGTTTATGAGGCCCATTCATAAAGTTGAAATTTTTTAAACTGAAAAAAAAATGGGAAAACCATAAAATGGCGATCGGTTCACCGGTCAGTTTGGTGGATTTTTAAGCGGTTAATGGAGCATGATTGGCCCGATTTTGAGCCCGGTTCCCAGTTGAAACAGCTAGGCAGGACCGATTTTGATAACATTCGTTCTATCAAATGTAATTATAAAAGAACAATGTTAATGATAATTAGGACTTAATAATTAGTCATTATATTTGACTAGTGTACTTCTTCAATGATTAGTTGGTCTTAACCTATATAGTAACTGCAGCATATATATTTTTAAGTGTGTTAGCTGTGTTATATTTTTAATAATAGGTTGGGAGAGAATAAAATAAAATCCAAAAGGTGGGGAAAGGTTTCACGGCATGGAACCTAACCATCAAGATCTAATTTGATCGTTGTACATGACTCTATTAATATCTAAAGGGTGTCAACAAGTCGAGTTGAGCCGACTTACGAGCTAAAACTTGAGGCTCGGAGCTTGGCTCGAGTATTTTTAGGTCGAGCTTTTTTTACCCGATTTTGCTTAGCCGAAAAATCGAAGCTCGACCCGAGCTTTCGGCTTAGCTTGGTAGGCTCGAGCTTTACCAAGCCAAGTCGGGTGGAGCCGAGTCGACTCCTTTTTTTCACATAGACTAAACAACTGCCTATGTAAAGGCAGGGTACAGCTGCCTTTAAAAGGCTACATCCCGCTGTCTTTTAAAGGCAACATGCCTGAATTTAAATTAGGCAATTGCACGCTACTTTTTCTTTTCTTTTTGAGCTGGCTACAAGCCCTGCAGACGGGTTCAGGCTCGGTGGAACCAAGTTTTGACCCAGGCCGACTCGAGCTTTTTCGGGGCCGTTCCACAGACGACCCAAGCCGACAAACTAATTTGCCTTTCCTATTAATATCTAATGGCCCCAACAAGAATATTAAAATATTTTAGAACAAAAATCTAACTAGCAACATTTATCAATCAATATAAATATCTATGCAATCAACTATGCAGATCTCTCAAAGTGATCCATGTTTTTTTTTTTTAAATACTTCTACTTAAAAATGTTGGAAAATTATGGTTTACACACAATAGAGAATCGAGAAGAAATAAAGAATCAAAACAAGAAAATGAAAAAGAAGATGAAAGGTTAAACACATAATCATTATCCTCAAATGGTTTTTGCCCTCTCCCGGATTGAATTTGATTCTTAAAGGGATTTTGGCAAATGCTTTGCGAGATTTATCAAGCCTTGTAAAATATTTAACACTTAAGCACTTGGTATAATCCTCTAAAACCTGAGAATGCAAAATAGGGTTTGAATATGAAGAGAAAATTGATTTTCAATACTTTTTGGAATGAAGAAATGATCTCAAGTGTGACAATACGGTTTCCATTGATCATCAACCACCTATACGTAGCCATCAATCAATGCTATACGAAGTCATGCCAAAAATCCTTGAAAAACCACCCAAAATTCAAACAAAAAGGCCATTAATGGCTAGCAGAATGTTCTATGTGATGGCATAGAACACATCTATGCGACCGCACATATCAACTCATGATAGGGCCTAAAAGCCCTGCAAATGGCCATACAACGACAACCTCTTTTAGCCTATGTGGTTGTATAGGCCAAATTCTTGGCCTTTATTATTATTATTTTTTTTCATTTTCATTTTCATTCCACATGTAATTTATTGATTTTAAACAATTTTCAACAAAAAATCCACTATGAACGTTCATTACTTTCCATCATTCTGCTAGTGCAATTAAAATCTTAAAAATTGGACACGATCACTCATTCAAAAACTCATTTTTTCTTCAAATTCAATTTTATTCACACATTTTTTCAATAAAATAATTTTGCATGTAAATCCAAAAATTTTCCATATTTTTTAACCATACAATCTCCAAAAAACCACTATCACAAAATATATTCTCTTAAATAAATAGGGCTCTAAAATTGTGGTTGAGGGTTTTGTTTAGGTGTTTCGGCACATCCTTAGTTAATTTAGATTATGAATCGAGTTAATAAGATAAGCGTCTCCAAAAAACTCTACATTTTCAAAGATCATATTTTGTAATTTAGAATGTAAAATTTTTTAAATACTCCAATACCTTCTTTATCTTTAGCACTTAGCATCTGTCTTAGAGTGATACTCAACAAATAATAATCAAAATTTTACCGTTATAATTTGAATCGACGACACTTATTAACCAAAATATGCAGAATTATCTATATATCCTTTTCAACATTTAATTCACTTTGTTTGAAAGGACATTTATGGTAATTTACCAAATGAGCTATTCAGTAATTACGGCTAGAAGGGGCTTACTACATTTTGAACGATCCAAATTTTGATCAAAATCATGTGAGAATAGCACCCAAACAAAGGCTTAATTTTACTACTCACAAAATATATTTATTATTTTTTCCTATATTCTATTTTAACTAGTTTCCCCCCTAATTATTACAACATTATTCTCTATTGAAAATTGAGAATATTTTGAATGCATTTAATTATAGGTAGTGAGCTTTGGCTATTTAAATTTGGAGACTTAAATTCACTCTTTATTTTAAAGTGTTAGTTTAAAGAATTTTTTAGAGTATCTCTAAGAGACTCTATTTTTAAAGTGCATATTCTGTTATTTGGATAGTATCTATAAATTTAGAAAGTTAAAATTTTAAAGTATTCTAACAAGTTCTTTACATTTAACACTTAATTTTACTACTTTCAAAAATATTTATTATTTTTCTCTCTTTCATTTTAAGTAGCTTTTCTTTAAACCAGTTTATTATTTTCCTACATTGAAAATTCAAACATTTTGAATGCATTTAATTATAGAGTTACCACTCTCTAGATTAAAATGTTAATTTAAATAGTCTCTTAGTGCATGATTTTAAGAGTTGTCTCTTTAAGATATATTATATTTAAAGAGTCTCTTTGTTCTTAGAGCATAATTTTAAGAATTGACTCTTTAAAATAAAGAATATTTTATATTTAAAGAGTCACTTGAAAATACTGGTCGAAGAAGAGTGGTATGGCCGGCGGCAAAAATCTATAGCACAGCAACATGCAAAGGAGCTGACCACCAAATGACTGGACCCAACTTCTCTATTCTTTTATATTCAACTCTCTTTTTCTCACTAATATAATGCCTTTTTTAGGGAGGTAAAGTCACTAACTACACAATTGCTTAAATATTTACAATTTATAACAGATGACTAACTTTTATTAGTCAAAATTAATCAAATATGAAAAATAACCATAACACCCTTTCCTCCCAAGAATTGACAGAGATGAAAAGTGAAAACTAGTGTAATTCCCATTTCAAAATTTTCCCCTCAAAATTTATATACAATCACTGTTCATATTGCATTACTTTTGATTTTATAGAAGTTGCATAGTGAAACTATTTTGCTCATTTTCTCAATCCTACTTTGTAAGACCTAATTAATCCAGTTCAAGGTAGACAAAAATTTTTGGAATCTCGGCATGTCACTTTCACACATCGACTAAAAAACGCTTTTTATTCCATAAGTCATTCAAAGTTGATGTTAATAATTAACTTATTTAAAAATCTACTTTACTCACTCTAATCATTCACGGGATAGTTAGCTCGAATTTAATTTAAGCTCGACACCTAAATTAAGTGAATCTTGTGTGTGGCACATTAGACTAGCTTGAAACAAATAAATTTATTAAATCTACTTTCCTTGGTCTAGTGAATTGTGTGCATGGCACATTAGACTAGCTAAACCAAACTAGCTTCATTAAATTTTAGAGTAATATCCATTGTCAAAAACTAAATATTGCTATCTTATCTCATAGCAAAAGAGTTCCTTTAGAAGTTAATCAATGCAACAGTGATTATTCCTGCCTTGTTGGAACTGAAAGAGAGATTCCAATCTATCTAGTCCAACACTAAATGACTCCATCCACTTTTTAATCTTTATATAGAATTTGATTCTTTTCAATCAGATAATGGAAGATTCTTAGAATTATACCATCACCACTACATCAGATTTTTATATTTTAGAACAAAATTAATCTCTATATAAGCAGACACCTATTAATTTTTGGAGCAAGGGTGCAGAAATTCCGAGTCTATTACAAAGTTAGTGCTTCAAATTCATGGCTTGGTCAAGGAAGGACCACCACCGAAAAATAGAACCATCTGCCGAAAAATTGCGGGAAACAGGTAAGAAGCATTCTATCATTGACTATTCTGCCGCTCTTAAGAACCAAAAGTTAGAATTGGGCAATAATGATAGTTGGTTTTTTTTTATTATTTAGTAAAATAGAGTTCAAACAATGATCGAACAATTGATAGAGTGAGAGTTGAAATTATTTTGTCATTTTTTATATTTAATTTGAAAAATCTTTAAAAAATTTTATTCATCATACATGTGAGATTATTTGAAATTTTTTGGAAATTGTTATTTATTATATATATGATATTTGTGAATCTATGATAGTGATCATGTGTATGTGTTTTTGTATAATACATAAATTTTTTTGTAACTTTTTAGTAAATTTAATTGTGTCCCACTAATTCCAAATGTCTGCGTCCGCCACTGGTAACGTTGTAGATGACCACCCTCAATTTCCTCGAAACATGGCGTATGGCTCGCCTTCTAAGGAGCGTCTCAAGGGTGCGCCTGTTCCAAGAAATGATGATCGTAGTAGTACTGATGAATCGTTCCTTTAGAAGTTAATCAATGCAACAGTGATTATTCCTGCCTTGTTGGAACTGAAAGAGAGATTCCAATCTATCTAGTCCAACACTAAATGACTCCATCCACTTTTTAATCTTTATATAGAATTTGATTCTTTTCAATCAGATAATGGAAGATTCTTAGAATTATACCATCACCACTACATCAGATTTTTATATTTTAGAACAAAATTAATCTCTATATAAGCAGACACCTATTAATTTTTGGAGCAAGGGTGCAGAAATTCCGAGTCTATTACAAAGTTAGTGCTTCAAATTCATGGCTTGGTCAAGGAAGGACCACCACCGAAAAATAGAACCATCTGCCGAAAAATTGCGGGAAACAGGTAAGAAGCATTCTATCATTGACTATTCTGCCGCTCTTAAGAACCAAAAGTTAGAATTGGGCAATAATGATAGTTGGTTTTTTTTTATTATTTAGTAAAATAGAGTTCAAACAATGATCGAACAATTGATAGAGTGAGAGTTGAAATTATTTTGTCATTTTTTATATTTAATTTGAAAAATCTTTAAAAAATTTTATTCATCATACATGTGAGATTATTTGAAATTTTTTGGAAATTGTTATTTATTATATATATGATATTTGTGAATCTATGATAGTGATCATGTGTATGTGTTTTTGTATAATACATAAATTTTTTTGTAACTTTTTAGTAAATTTAATTGTGTCCCACTAATTCCAAATGTCTGCGTCCGCCACTGGTAACGTTGTAGATGACCACCCTCAATTTCCTCGAAACATGGCGTATGGCTCGCCTTCTAAGGAGCGTCTCAAGGGTGCGCCTGTTCCAAGAAATGATGATCGTAGTAGTACTGATGAATCGGATGATGACAATTATGACAGGCATGGGGGATATGGAGGGTCGTACTCGCCTAAGATGGTACGTACTAAACCCGAACATGACACTGATTATGCTTCCGATTCCCCAAAAGCCGGTGGGAATCCTTCTTTTAGATTTCCTGCTGGTAGAAAACCGCATCACAAATTTCCTGCTCAAGATCCACGCTATGAAACGAAAAATAATACAGCATATGACAATGTCAAAGGTAAGACGTCTGAAATTTCGAAGCCTAAATATGAACAGCAACAACAAGTTAATCCACATCCCACGACACGTCCAGGGAAAGAGGACCGTCAAGAGGTAATTAACTGCAGAGAGGCTTGTAACCGTTATGGAGGCATATTTGTAGATCAGCCAAAACAGGGGAAGGAGGAATACAAAAGAACAATTAACTGCGTAGGACGTTGTAGATGACCACCCTCAATTTCCTCGAAACATGGCGTATGGCTCGCCTTCTAAGGAGCGTCTCAAGGGTGCGCCTGTTTCAAGAAATGATGATCGTAGTAGTACTGATGAATCGGATGATGACAATTATGACAGGCATGGGGGATATGGAGGGTCGTACTCGCCTAAGATGGTACGTACTAAACCCGAACATGACACTGATTATGCTTCCGATTCCCCAAAAGCCGGTGGGAATCCTTCTTTTAGATTTCCTGCTGGTAGAAAACCGCATCACAAATTTCCTGCTCAAGATCCACGCTATGAAACGAAAAATAATACAGCATATGACAATGTCAAAGGTAAGACGTCTGAAATTTCAAAGCCTAAATATGAACAGCAACAAGAAGTTAATCCACATCCCACGACACGTCCAGGGAAAGAGGACCGTCAAGAGGTAATTAACTGCAGAGAGGCTTGTAACCGTTATGGAGGCATATTTGTAGATCAGCCAAAACAGGGGAAGGAGGAATACAAAAGAACAATTAACTGCGTAGAGGCTGCAACGAAATACAATGGCATCTTTGTGCGTAATCCTGTGCCTAATCCAGTGCCTAAACCTAAATAGAATGTGGTGTTTCGAATAATATTGGTATCTTACTTTCCCTCACTTAAGAAAGTGGTGTACTTAGGTTGTCTTGTTCTGAGAGTCCTGGTACTAATAATGTTGTGTGTCCTACTTCATGTTTGGAAGATAGCATATATAATGCATGCCTTCTACTTGAGTAACTTTGTGCACTCACTTGCCTTTTATTCATGATTTTTGGAATTACATATGTATATCTCATTTTAACATCAAAGCTGCCCTCCCAGAAGCACGCAAAGACAAGACGAACCATATATCTATTGAAGCTTTTAAAGTAAGCATGTGGCCGTGCACACTGCTTGGCCATAGATCTAGTCAAGTTCTAACCTTTTAATATGAAATTCATTCTTATTAGGTAAAGCCACTTTGCCATATAGATGTAGACAGATGTTTTAATATAATGGGTGTTGAGAAAATTAGTGTTTTGAAAAGTGTAAAGCGTGGCTATGCATGAAGTTGAAATTTCAAGCTTTACGAGCTTAGGCGAACTCAGACAAAGTTTAAGCATAAAAAAAGGTTTTCTTATTTATAATATTATTTTTAATTTTTAATCATTTTGAAAATTATTTAAAAATTAAAATAATACATATTAAACATCTAAAATTATAAAATACAATATTTATTTAATAACTCCTACCGTTAGTCAATTATACAATTTTTAATTTTTCGAAATGCAAAACTTAGAATATTTTTCTTAGTTTTAATATTCAATTAGACAAGTCCTACTTAATAGATTTATAAAAACTTTATACCTGCTTTTGGAGCTTGTAATAAAATGAGTCTCAAAATAATAATTACATAATGTAGATAACACCAAAATTTAAATATTGTTTAGCTATTTAAATAAAGTCATTTTAATTTTGTACAAATAAAATCTTTTAAAAACCTGAAATTAATGTGAAATGATAAGTTTTTTTAAAAAAATAATAATAATAAGCTAAAGTCAAATAAAAGACTTTCAAAAAATATATATACAAAAAACTAATAAAGTGCATCTATGGAAGACGGAAGAAATAAAGGAAACAATTTATTTGTTTAAGAATTAAAAAAAAAAAAGCGTCTAGGTGCGAAGCGAGGCGTTTTGCCCAAGTTTCGAGCCTAGGCACACTTAGGTGAACTTTTTAGAACAGTTGGCAAATTATGATTGGATGAAAAATTTGACTATATCTTAAACAGTTTAATGAGATAATCTAAACCTCTCTGATACTGCAGCATGATTGTTCTTATTAGCACTGCCTTCCTTCTTTTCGCGGTAACTAGGAGAATTACTTCTCTGATTGAACTCTTTTGAGTAAATAATTCAAGCTATTGACTAATATTATACAAACTAGTTCATCAAAAAGACTAGTTTGAAAATGGCATTTTGGGCCTCTTAAAACTCTCATGCATGCTTGCCGATTAGCAAACCAAATCAGAAGCCCATGACTGTGCCAAATGAGATTGAAATATTTATAAAACAAAAAATATGAATGAAAATTGGATTATACCACAGTTATTACCAAAGCTACCGAATACCATTTTTTATCATCATCTATCTCAACAGTTCGCAAATGACGCATCAAAATGATTAAATGGAAATCGCTAGATATTGGATGGATGGATAAAACTAGACTCAAATGACTCCTCGAAGAGTAACTCAGGACTGTACCCTTTTTTAAATTCGATGCTTTACTTTCAGCTCAGAGAATTTACTTCTTCGATTGTTCAAAGATGTTTTTGTCACTCTTATGTATGTCAACAATTGCATATAGTATTGAAAAAAGATTATACTTGGAATAACTGGCCACACCCAATTGATTTCAAGTTTATAATTTCCACATTTAGACCCTGTCTAGTTGTGCTTTTGTTGTCAAAATTCATCAAATTATGATAAAACATTATTGTTAGAGCTCATTGATATCCGACAAGTTATTAAAAAAAAACCCTTAGTTGTAAGGTGTATTTATTGTGCATTGTCAAGTATGTCCTCTGAGAACAGTCAAATATGATGACGGAGAAAATATATATAAGTAATTCAAACAACTACAAGGGTAATATAGACTATTTCCTTAATAAATATCGTTTCAAGTGTTAATTGATTGATAAGGCAATCAAAAATTGCAGTAGAATGGGACACATGTGCACTTGCCAATGATCAAGACTTTGCTTAAGTTTTTCTAAAATCGCTCCCAAAAAGAAATTGCTTGCTATTTTTTGAATTTGTGAATTTATTATTTTAGGCAATTGTCGAGTTGAATATCATATTTATTAATTGGTCAAGATACCTGACTAGTGATGGCGTGCAGGCACGACAATTAACCTTGTATTCTTGTGTAAAATTAAAAAATTCTAGATATTAATTTAGATATGTATAAAAAAAATTATATTGTTTAAATTATGATCAAAAAGGAAAAATTATAATAAAATATGGAAAACTCAGCATTTTATTTATTTTCAATGTAAGGATGGTAACGAGACAGATATGAGACAGGTCAACCGTTCTGACCACTTTTCCATAGGATATTTTTGTCACTTTATATCGTAGTCATACCTTATTTTTTTATACTTTTAATTTTTATGTCTTTAGTTAACAAATATTATTAATTTTTTTACAAATTGTTAAGAACAATTTATGTTCTCTTTAAAAATAATGATAAATATTTTATTTTTGCTTGATAAAAAACTTAAATTTGAATTTTTTAACTTTAAAAGGGACAAATTGGAGGGTAGAGACTATGTTTACAATACCCGCTTCATCGCAATGATCTCCACCCCATCCCAGTCTTGTTTACTCGATTAGGCTAGTAATCTTCACCCTATTCAAGGCGGGGCCCAACAAGTATTGGATTGAACAAGTTTTTTTTGTCGTACCTATTTTAGTTTGTGCTATCAAATGTGATTATAAAATATCAGTATTACCCTATATAGTAACTGCAGCATATATATTTTTATGTGTGTTGGCTGTGTTATATTTTAATTATCAGCTCTGCTTCTTGTCTAAGGTGGGGGACAGGCTCAAAAACAGGGCGCCATGTCTATTGGCCGACAGCCGACCCTCCAATAGGGGGCGCCATGTGCGCCCTGTTTTTTGCCATGTCCCCAAACCTGGACGTTTGGCTTTGTCCTTTAATTATTGGTTGGGAGGGAATAAAATAAAACCCTAGAGGTGGAGGAAGGTTTCATGACATGGAACATAACCATCAACGTGGCGCCCTGTTTTTTGCCCTGTCCCCAACCCTGAATGTATGGTTTTTTCCTTTAATTATTGTTTGGGAGGGAATAAAACCCTAGAGGTAGAGGAAGATTTCGTGACATGAACATAACCATCAAGATCTAATTTGATAGTTTTACATGACTGTACTAATATCTAATGGCCCCAACAAGAATATTAAAATATTTTAGAACAAAAATCTAACTAGAAACATTTACGAATCAATAAAAGTATCTATGCAATCAACTATGCAGATCTCTCAATGTGATCCCTGTTTGTTT